AATTAGGACTTGCCAAATCATTCTAGACTTGAGTTGGCTCCCTTTCTCCATTTATTCTAATGTGTCTGAGAGACAGAGTTTCAGGAATGTGCAATCTTCTTTCTGGATAAAAATAACCATATGAACAGATTCTGAACAGAAAATGAAGTAAAAAGTATGAAAAAGTATTAATCATTGCAGAAGTCTTTACTGGAACTTTCTAAGTCTCAAGTAACTTGAAATGCTTTGACATAAGTTTAGTCCCAGTCAAGACTACTATTTTTGTAAAGGTGCAATTTTTTCATGTAAATTGTTATTATGACATTCACTCTCTCTCCCATTTCAGAGAAAAAATGGTGGCTTCCTTGGCGTATCAACAGAAACCCTTGAAGCTACAGAAGGTCTAAAGTCTACAATGATGGGGTGGCCCCTCCCTGGACCCCCAAGGCAGTCATGGGCTGTTGCATAGGCCCCTCCTGATCCCTTTGACCATGCAAAACCCCATCTAGACTGAAGAATTTCATTCACTCTCTCTCCCATTTCAGAAAAAATGGGCGGCTTCCTCGGCGCGGCAAGACAACAGCCAGTGTGCACCTCAGAGGTTCTTCCAGCTTGCCAGGTGAGCTTCAAACAGCCCAAGGCACCCTAGGAAACTGGTCAAAAATCAAATCAAAATTCTTTTTCTCTCTGTCTTTTTTTAAAGAGCTTGTGTAGACTTAAGACTTTCAGCAGGTTTAAGGGCAGCTATAGGAGCCCTTAAACCTGCTGAAAGTCTTAAGTCTACAATGATGGGGTGGCCCCTCCCTGGACCCCCCAGGCAGTCATGGGCTGTTGCATAGGCCCCTCCTGATCCCTTTGACCATGCAAAACCCCATCTAGACTGAACAATTTCATTCACTCTCTCTCCCATTTCAGAAAAAATGGGCGGCTTCCTCGGCGCGTCAAGACAACAGCCAGTGTGCACCTCAGAGGTTCTTCCAGCTTGCCAGGTGAGCTTCAAACAGCCCAAGGCACCCTAGGAAACTGGTCAAAAATCAAATCAAAATTCTTTTTCTCTCTGTCTTTTTTTAAAGAGCTTGTGTAGACTTAAGACATTCAGCAGGTTTAAGGGCAGCTATAGGAGCCCTTAAACCTGCTGAAAGTCTTAAGTCTACAATGATGGGGTGGCCCCTCCCTGGACCCCCCAGGCAGTCATGGGCTGTTGCATAGGCCCCTCCTGATCCCTTTGACCATGCAAAACCCCATCTTGGCTCAAAAATTTCATTCACTCTCTCTCCCATTTCAGAAAAAATGGGCGGCTTCCTCGGCGCGGCAAGACAACAGCCAGTGTGCACCTCAGAGGTTCTTCCAGCTTGCCAGGTGAGCTTCAAACAGCCCAAGGCACCCTAGGAAACTGGTCAAAAATCAAATCAAAATTCTTTTTCTCTCTGTCTTTTTTTAAAGAGCTTGTGTAGACTTAAGACTTTCAGCAGGTTTAAGGGCAGCTATAGGAGCCCTTAAACCTGCTGAAAGTCTTAAGTCTACAATGATGGGGTGGCCCCTCCCTGGACCCCCCAGGCAGTCATGGGCTGTTGCATAGGCCCCTCCTGATCCCTTTGACCATGCAAAACCCCATCTAGACTGAACAATTTCATTCACTCTCTCTCCCATTTCAGAAAAAATGGGCGGCTTCCTCGGCGCGGCAAGACAACAGCCAGTGTGCACCTCAGAGGTTCTTCCAGCTTGCCAGGTGAGCTTCAAACAGCCCAAGGCACCCTAGGAAACTGGTCAAAAATCAAATCAAAATTCTTTTTCTCTCTGTCTTTTTTTAAAGAGCTTGTGTAGACTTAAGACTTTCAGCAGGTTTAAGGGCAGCTATAGGAGCCCTTAAACCTGCTGAAAGTCTTAAGTCTACAATGATGGGGTGGCCCCTCCCTGGACCCCCCAGGCAGTCATGGGCTGTTGCATAGGCCCCTCCTGATCCCTTTGACCATGCAAAACCCCATCTAAGACTGAAGAATTTCATTCACTCTCTCTCCCATTTCAGAAAAAATGGGCGGCTTCCTCGGCGCGTCAAGACAACAGCCAGTGTGCACCTCAGAGGTTCTTCCAGCTTGCCAGGTGAGCTTCAAACAGCCCAAGGCACCCTAGGAAACTGGTCAAAAATCAAATCAAAATTCTTTTTCTCTCTGTCTTTTTTTAAAGAGCTTGTGTAGACTTAAGACTTTCAGCAGGTTTAAGGGCAGCTATAGGAGCCCTTAAACCTGCTGAAAGTCTTAAGTCTACAATGATGGGGTGGCCCCTCCCTGGACCCCCCAGGCAGTCATGGGCTGTTGCATAGGCCCCTCCTGATCCCTTTGACCATGCAAAACCCCATCTAAGACTGAAGAATTTCATTCACTCTCTCTCCCATTTCAGAAAAAATGGGCGGCTTCCTCGGCGCGTCAAGACAACAGCCAGTGTGCACCTCAGAGGTTCTTCCAGCTTGCCAGGTGAGCTTCAAACAGCCCAAGGCACCCTAGGAAACTGGTCAAAAATCAAATCAAAATTCTTTTTCTCTCTGTCTTTTTTTAAAGAGCTTGTGTAGACTTAAGACTTTCAGCAGGTTTAAGGGCAGCTATAGGAGCCCTTAAACCTGCTGAAAGTCTTAAGTCTACAATGATGGGGTGGCCCCTCCCTGGACCCCCCAGGCAGTCATGGGCTGTTGCATAGGCCCCTCCTGATCCCTTTGACCATGCAAAACCCCATCTTGGCTCAAAAATTTCATTCACTCTCTCTCCCATTTCAGAAAAAATGGGCGGCTCCCTCGGTGCGTCAAGACAACAGCCAGTGTGCACCTCAGAGGTTCTTCCAGCTTGCCAGGTGAGCTTCAAACAGCCCAAGGCACCCTAGGAAACTGGTCAAAAATCAAATCAAAATTCTTTTTCTCTCTGTCTTTTTTTAAAGAGCTTGTGTAGACTTAAGACTTTCAGCAGGTTTAAGGGCAGCTATAGGAGCCCTTAAACCTGCTGAAAGTCTTAAGTCTACAATGATGGGGTGGCCCCTCCCTGGACCCCCCAGGCAGTCATGGGCTGTTGCATAGGCCCCTCCTGATCCCTTTGACCATGCAAAACCCCATCTTGGCTCAAAAATTTCATTCACTCTCTCTCCCATTTCAGAAAAAATGGGCGGCTCCCTCGGCGCGTCAAGACAACAGCCAGTGTGCACCTCAGAGGTTCTTCCAGCTTGCCAGGTGAGCTTCAAACAGCCCAAGGCACCCTAGGAAACTGGTCAAAAATCAAATCAAAATTCTTTTTCTCTCTGTCTTTTTTTAAAGAGCTTGTGTAGACTTAAGACTTTCAGCAGGTTTAAGGGCAGCTACAGGAGCCCTTAAACCTGCTGAAAGTCTTAAGTCTACAATGATGGGGTGGCCCCTCCCTGGACCCCCCAGGCAGTCATGGGCTGTTGCATAGGCCCCTCCTGATCCCTTTGACCATGCAAAACCCCATCTAGACTGAACAATTTCATTCACTCTCTCTCCCATTTCAGAAAAAATGGGCGGCTTCCTCGGCGCGTCAAGACAACAGCCAGTGTGCACCTCAGAGGTTCTTCCAGCTTGCCAGGTGAGCTTCAAACAGCCCAAGGCACCCTAGGAAACTGGTAAAAAATCAAATCAAAATTCTTTTTCTCTCTGTCTTTTTTTAAAGAGCTTGTGTAGACTTAAGACTTTCAGCAGGTTTAAGGGCAGCTACAGGAGCCCTTAAACCTGCTGAAAGTCTTAAGTCTACAATGATGGGGTGGCCCCTCCCTGGACCCCCCAGGCAGTCATGGGCTGTTGCATAGGCCCCTCCTGATCCCTTTGACCATGCAAAACCCCATCTAGACTGAACAATTTCATTCACTCTCTCTCCCATTTCAGAAAAAATGGGCGGCTTCCTCGGCGCGTCAAGACAACAGCCAGTGTGCACCTCAGAGGTTCTTCCAGCTTGCCAGGTGAGCTTCAAACAGCCCAAGGCACCCTAGGAAACTGGTAAAAAATCAAATCAAAATTCTTTTTCTCTCTGTCTTTTTTTAAAGAGCTTGTGTAGACTTAAGACTTTCAGCAGGTTTAAGGGCAGCTATAGGAGCCCTTAAACCTGCTGAAAGTCTTAAGTCTACAATGATGGGGTGGCCCCTCCCTGGACCCCCCAGGCAGTCATGGGCTGTTGCATAGGCCCCTCCTGATCCCTTTGACCATGCAAAACCCCATCTTGGCTCAAAAATTTCATTCACTCTCTCTCCCATTTCAGAAAAAATGGGCGGCTCCCTCGGTGCGTCAAGACAACAGCCAGTGTGCACCTCAGAGGTTCTTCCAGCTTGCCAGGTGAGCTTCAAACAGCCCAAGGCACCCTAGGAAACTGGTCAAAAATCAAATCAAAATTCTTTTTCTCTCTGTCTTTTTTTAAAGAGCTTGTGTAGACTTAAGACTTTCAGCAGGTTTAAGGGCAGCTATAGGAGCCCTTAAACCTGCTGAAAGTCTTAAGTCTACAATGATGGGGTGGCCCCTCCCTGGACCCCCCAGGCAGTCATGGGCTGTTGCATAGGCCCCTCCTGATCCCTTTGACCATGCAAAACCCCATCTTGGCTCAAAAATTTCATTCACTCTCTCTCCCATTTCAGAAAAAATGGGCGGCTCCCTCGGCGCGTCAAGACAACAGCCAGTGTGCACCTCAGAGGTTCTTCCAGCTTGCCAGGTGAGCTTCAAACAGCCCAAGGCACCCTAGGAAACTGGTCAAAAATCAAATCAAAATTCTTTTTCTCTCTGTCTTTTTTTAAAGAGCTTGTGTAGACTTAAGACTTTCAGCAGGTTTAAGGGCAGCTACAGGAGCCCTTAAACCTGCTGAAAGTCTTAAGTCTACAATGATGGGGTGGCCCCTCCCTGGACCCCCCAGGCAGTCATGGGCTGTTGCATAGGCCCCTCCTGATCCCTTTGACCATGCAAAACCCCATCTAGACTGAACAATTTCATTCACTCTCTCTCCCATTTCAGAAAAAATGGGCGGCTTCCTCGGCGCGTCAAGACAACAGCCAGTGTGCACCTCAGAGGTTCTTCCAGCTTGCCAGGTGAGCTTCAAACAGCCCAAGGCACCCTAGGAAACTGGTCAAAAATCAAATCAAAATTCTTTTTCTCTCTGTCTTTTTTTAAAGAGCTTGTGTAGACTTAAGACTTTCAGCAGGTTTAAGGGCAGCTACAGGAGCCCTTAAACCTGCTGAAAGTCTTAAGTCTACAATGATGGGGTGGCCCCTCCCTGGACCCCCCAGGCAGTCATGGGCTGTTGCATAGGCCCCTTCTGATCCCTTTGACCATGCAAAACCCCATCTAGACTGAACAATTTCATTCACTCTCTCTCCCATTTCAGAAAAAATGGGCGGCTTCCTCGGCGCGTCAAGACAACAGCCAGTGTGCACCTCAGAGGTTCTTCCAGCTTGCCAGGTGAGCTTCAAACAGCCCAAGGCACCCTAGGAAACTGGTCAAAAATCAAATCAAAATTCTTTTTCTCTCTGTCTTTTTTTAAAGAGCTTGTGTAGACTTAAGACTTTCAGCAGGTTTAAGGGCAGCTACAGGAGCCCTTAAACCTGCTGAAAGTCTTAAGTCTACAATGATGGGGTGGCCCCTCCCTGGACCCCCCAGGCAGTCATGGGCTGTTGCATAGGCCCCTTCTGATCCCTTTGACCATGCAAAACCCCATCTAGACTGAACAATTTCATTCACTCTCTCTCCCATTTCAGAAAAAATGGGCGGCTTCCTCGGCGCGTCAAGACAACAGCCAGTGTGCACCTCAGAGGTTCTTCCAGCTTGCCAGGTGAGCTTCAAACAGCCCAAGGCACCCTAGGAAACTGGTCAAAAATCAAATCAAAATTCTTTTTCTCTCTGTCTTTTTTTAAAGAGCTTGTGTAGACTTAAGACTTTCAGCAGGTTTAAGGGCAGCTATAGGAGCCCTTAAACCTGCTGAAAGTCTTAAGTCTACAATGATGGGGTGGCCCCTCCCTGGACCCCCCAGGCAGTCATGGGCTGTTGCATAGGCCCCTCCTGATCCCTTTGACCATGCAAAACCCCATCTAGACTGAAGAATTTCATTCACTCTCTCTCCCATTTCAGAAAAAATGGGCAGCATCAAGCTGGACAGTCATTGTACATGTCTATGTTTAGTTCTCGATGTGATGTAATTAAATCGAAGGAAATTAATATTAAAACTAAAAGTTTTAATGTTAGTTATTTCTGTGTTTGATTATGGATTTACTGCAGACTCAATGGATATTAAACGCAATTGTCCTTGTGCTTTATAATGGTTCAGGTTAAACTATACTTTATTAAACTATATATGAGGATAGAGCAACCTTTATATCTGAAAGACATGCTCCATTTGCTTTATCTGCGTGGTTGAACGTTGGCTCTATTAATATCAAAGTTGGCAGTGTAGCAGAGGATGACATCAACCACATATTAGAATGGATCCCCTACTCTTTTACAATCCATCCACTGGTTTAGATAGAGGGGGGTTCAATTCTCTTGTGTATGATGTTTCTTTGTCCCAATTTCTCCGACAGATTGATTTTTTTATTAATTGTGCATGTACATCTTTTATGCATGTAGTCTGGTGAATTTTTTTGCAGAGTATTACACCCAGAGTGAGCCACCTTATCGCAAGCACAGAGTCAGCGATCTAACCCTCTGAGTCTTCCACAAAATGAAAGTCCAACAACTGGTAGTCTGATTTCGTACTTCATGTACACCCCCCACCCTATCATAACCTGTAATTTGTCAGTGGAGGTATTATTAGATCTTACCCTGATTGTAGGAAGAAATGTTACAGGAAAGAAAGTTACAGAAATAAAGTTACATGACCAGCATAGACTGCTTGATACCCAACCTGGAATACCTGTTTCCTGTGCTATGATGTTCTGTCAGTATTGGGTGAAAACACATTGTGTAGTAGTATGCTAAGTGTCTGCACCAAGAATACCTTCCTAGTAGAGAACTTAATTGTGAGGCAGTTAACATTAAGTATAACATTACATGCTAATTACTCACTCAGAACTAGAAATTATGAAATAACTTTTTCATGTTAATTATTGTGGAAAGTATCTTTTTATCTTTACATGAATATATTATGCCTTATTTCGTGTGGTTTCTCTAAATTCTTATATTCAAAACTACAGGGTAAATGTAGAAATAGAAATAAACTTTAAATTTGAAAAATAAATAAATGCCATTATAAATGCATTTGTGAATATGACACATGAAAAAGTTACTTCCTTTTCACTATTTACCAATTTTGTCAAATCCTGACAGACTTGGTTCAAATATATTTAGATTTAAAAATGTGATTAAAAACACGACTTTATATCTTGCATGCCATTGCAGAATATTGTAGAATATCATAAGGACTGGTAATTTATATATTTATTGGGGGGTGATCATGAAGAAATTACACAGCAAATAAAGGATGGGGTTGGGGAGGGGCGTTTTAATGACAACATGTAGGGGGTCACCAAAATTTATCACAAGTATATTTGGGGGAGTGGGTACGTACAACATAAATGACATGGTTCTGTATTATTTTGAATAAAAAGGTTAAATATTTCATTTGTTATATGTTATAAATGTCCATGAAAATGCAATCTGTATATATTGGGGACATAATAAATGCACATAAAATGTGTGTGTGTGTTGTTGGGGGGGGGGGGGGGGGGGAGGGTCTCATCTAAATATGGTCCTAACCAGGTTGATAATTAAGGTCCTCTACCTCCTTCTAACACAGATACCTGTATATTTCCACCCCTTTATGTTTGCATGGTGCTCTCACATGGGGGCAATGTGTTCTTTCGTTCAATACACAACATGCTTTTGATCTAATTAATACAGAGAGCTGGCATGTAGGTGTATGTAGGATGCAATATTATGCAATCCTCAGGACCATGGTTTATGGTCACTGATCTGGTACTGTTCATTCCTCGTTTCTGTCAATCATGATGAATTAGCCAATGAAAACACTTGTTTCATTGAAAAGGCCAATGACCATCGCTTCCTGAAGTTAGTAGCTAAGAATATAAGATTGTTGTATGTGGTTGTTTATGGAATGTGAATGACTTTTCAACTGTGCCAGGTACTAGTCTGTATCAACAATCCATGTGTGTAACATTGAATCATATCTCCTTGTTATATTTCTCTGTTGGATTGGCGCTACAATTATCTGTCCTGATGACAGTTAAACATTGCAGGTTAGTAATATCATTGCTTTAGGCACATACGTTTCAGCATATCTTTAATGATTGACATATCTCAGGTAATTAGCAGTGATAATTGCCATGTATGATACTTCCTCATATCAAATAATTCTTGTTTTGGTAATAATACATATTTTGAAAGTCTTAAAGAGAAGACCTCCAAACCTGAGTATTTGCAGCACCATGTTCATGGGATAGAAGTAAAATGCGGTTTCACAATTTGGACCTGTATTCTGCATTTGTTAAAAAAATATGAAAGTATCATATTTTCCAATGTTTCAAATTGTTTCTATTTGAAGGATTTGTAGAACAATTTAGGGGGTCACATTATGTAGAGAAATAATTGTCTTTTATTGTAAAAAATTAGTAATGAAAATGAAACTGTTCAAATACTAGTCCAAATTTCTTTTCGATATGATCTGTGGATTAAGGGGTTCTTTACTTTTTATTGTTGTATCCAGCAAGTGATATTATTTGATTGATAACGGTGTTAGAACCTACACTGAAACGTCGCTCTTAATTGTAAGAAAGAAGTTGTTCATCCAAAAATTCTTAACCTTGCTCACTATACAGTTTATATATTTTATGCATGTCATTATGTCATAAGAGTCAGTATTACACTAACAGTCATTATGTAGTCACACATAGTTATATAATAATGGATAGCAGGGGTAAAGTAAACAACTGCATCATTTCTAGTTTGATATAACTTATCTTGGTACATCAAGATTGTATTAAGTTTACTGAACAGAGTGTTTGCTATTTATAAATGAACAGTTTTTAAAAACAAATATTCATAAGACTGAAAATGCAATCTGTATATATTGGGGACATAATAAATGCACATAAAGTGTGTGGGGGGTGGTGGTGGGTGGGGGGTGGGGTGGGGTGGGGGGTGGGGGTGGGGGTGGGGGGGGGGGGTGGGGGGGGCTCATCTAAATATGGTCCTAACCTCAATTCCATTATAAATTACCCATACCTAAGGTTGATAATTAAGGTCCTCTACCTCCTTCTCACACAGATACCTGTATATTTCGATCCCTTTATGTTTGTATGGTGCAATGGGGGCAATGTGTTCTTTCATTCAATACACAACATGCTTTTGATCTCATTAATACAGAGAGCTGGCAGATTGTAAAAACCAATATTCATAAGACTTGTATACTTCATACTGATATTTCCACACTAAAGAGAGGTACTGCCAGAGACTATGGCAGGATGGGGACCCCAGCAACTGATAAATGGTGATCACATTACAAATGTTCTCCCTGGGTCTGGGCAAAAAACACAAAGCACACATATTCAACAATTGTCAACAATTTAGGAAAACTAGTTTCATGTAGTATCATTTGTTTGCAGATGAGATTCCTGAATATCTGTCAGAATGTCAGATGATTTGAGGAAACAGACAGAGTCCAGTACATCCCAACCAATGGCAAGAGTAAGTACCAACACTAGGAATTCATACAATGATATGTATATGTAACTTTTTTTAACTCTTTGTTTAGATCAAAGTTAATTTGATTAGGTACTTATGTTTACAAGTTCTACTTACATTAGATATCTAATGTTTTGGTCATTATTGTAAGATAGGATTTGTAGGTCCAGAATAAAATATATTCCTTTCCATTTTGTAAGGCCTTGTAATGATTACTGTCAGTACATCATTTACTTCAGTTCCCACCGGTTTGTTTGTTCAATATTATTAGAACTGACATGCAATGTAACTAAAACAAGTAATGCAAAGTGCATGGTGGAACCAGGCCTTTATTTCTTAGTCTGAAGAAAAGTGATAACTTAATTGTTTCATGTAACTACTTCGTACACAGCAATATTTAAAATTCGGCAATAGCTGAACTATTGTGTCATGATGACATCTTGATATGTTTGTTATAATTAGTTTGTTCAATAATCATTAGAACAGAACAGGTACTCATACATCTCATGTTCATCTATTTTTCTGAAGTAATATTGCTTAGCCTTTGTATGATGTGGTGATAACTTCATGGTGTGACAATCTGTCCATTATACCATACTGTGAGTATGTATACCCAAATAAAGACACAAACTAAAGAGGAATCTTAGAAGATAATCATTAGCTCACCCTGGGGTTAGGCTGGGTGTCTGCTACTGATCTATATAACACATTCTGCATGTAATTAGCTACAAACCACATGGACATTTCCCCACACAGACAGTTCCCAACACTGACATTTCCCTACTCAGACATTTCCCTACATGACAATCTGTTCTTATATATTGAGGGTCCTTCTACTTCTACAACATATGCTAAATAACTTGTTAATTTTTATGATTTTCCCATTACCATGAGCCTATGATGTGTACTTTTTATAGTGAGCATGACATTCCATTACAGTTCTGTATACCGTAATCTAGTGTTTTAAGTATGAATACTTGACACTAAAATAGGGGCCATTTCTGCAAGTAGTAAACATTTTGAAAAGTTCTTTTCCAAGATGTGATTATGGGAAGGTTTTCCTTTCTTTCTTTACAATCATTAGGATAACCTGGTATTCTGAAAAACTGAAATAATGCATAGAATTAAGGGTTACGTGTTTACATTGCCTGATTGTCTTTATTTACCATATATATTACAATATGAACACATTTAAGTGAATCTTGTGATTTGAAAGGCTAATATGGCAGTCATTATGAAAACAGTTACTCTATATGCAGTTTATTTTAAGACTAGCACCATGTACCACATTCACAATCAATAAGAAAGAAATAGTTCTGAGTGTCTGTTTATTTGAATTTTCCTTGAATCCTAGAAATATGATTGTGGAAAATAGATTGTTAGTCATCATTCTTTTGTCAGCATCAGCAACCAAATATGAGGACATGTAGAAGAACGTTATCACAAAATTTCAATGAACACTCGAGTACTTATTGGGAATTACAGTATGTGTTTTGAACAAATCATGTACTGTTTCTCTTCTCTGGCTCAGCCTAACATGTGACATGTACATTGCCCAATGAGGGTGAGTTTCTGTCTCTTTGGTAATGTGTTTTTGTAGGATGACTAATGCACATAGTCAATAAATTTAGTAATATGAAAGAAAAGCCTGGTAAATATGATTATGGACATCATGTATGACATACAGTTGAACATGATGTAATAGGTTTGCTTTTAATGCATTTCAGGTAAAATGTTCAAGAAAAAGAAGTATTGGTGTGATTTCAAAGGAGAATTATGACTGCCTTAGATTAAAACTTGAAGGAGGTGACATTCCCAAGGATAGCAAGACTGTCAAGTTTTACCATGTCTGCCAGAAAATACAGAAGTTCAATTTATCTTTGACAGAAATTCACAACCCTGTCCAAGGAGAATATAGATTGGAGATTATAGATGGGGACAGGAAAATAGTGATATCAAAGTCAGAACTTGATAATGTCATCTGCAAATTTTACACTGAGTTGCGGGGTTCTGGAGCAAAGAAAATAAGAACATTGATAAACCAGTATTATGCTGGCATTTCTCAGGAAGCCATACAAGACTTTATAGACAGGCAAGATGACAGGCAACTGTTACATCCTAAATTTGTTAATGCTGCCAAACTAAAACCGGTGATTTCAAGAACACCAATGGGGCGACATCAGGTTGACCTTGTGGAACTAACTGGAATGCCTGCAGAAAATGATGGTGAAACATTCATTTACATCTTGTCTGTTATTGATGTTTTCACAAGATTCTTGTGGCTTCGGCCTCTTTCCAACAAAAGAGCCTGTTCAGTGGCATTGGAACTCAACAAAATCTACTTTGAGTATGGATGGGGAAATCCAAGAATCTTACAGTGCGATCAAGGCTCCGAGTTTAAGGGAGCAGTCAACCAACTCTGCATAGAAATGGGAACGAAGATTGTCCGAAGTCGGGCTCACCATCCACAATCTCAGGGAAAGGTGGGTGACAAATTTCAATCAAAACATGCACACTATAAACGTTGAGGTAATAGATGTAGATACTTAATAGTAAGAACATTAATGTTGATGTTATTTGGAACATGTCATCTTTAGGGCAGAGCCACACTTGCATGTGTGTGACAGATGACACCGGTGGGGCAGGATACACTAACCTTCGTGAACACCTGCTACTATCACTATTTTATGTTGATTCATAACACATGCTTATGATATTGATGGAATCATTAAGTGGACCCAGCTTTTAGAAGAGGCTTCTTATGATTATGGAAACTGTTTTTGTTATATATTTATGGTATAACACTTGTGCACACTTTTTGTGCCTGCCTAATCTGTTTACTATTTAGATGTTAATTTATTTCAGAGTGAACGATCACACCGGGATTGGAAAAGCCATCTCGAATTTGATCACAGCAAACATGGTGATGGAGAAAACTTCAACTGGGTGGAAAAGTTGCCAGCATATGCTAGAATACACAATGAAAGCATTCATTCTGCACTTGGTAAAGTTTGCATATATAGCTTTAATTTAATGTGGGCATATGTCACAAAGTGTGAAGCACATAATGTAAGCATATACTTTTCAGACTGTAAGCATGGTAAATGTGGATGTGTGACATTGAATTTATTTTACGCACTGACCAACAAATAACCATTATGACACAGTTAAATGATGATGGCTCATAACAGAAGGTACAACAGTTTCATAGTTGACCAGGTATTGACCAAAATATAGTTGCATGCACCCTTCAGGCTACTGCAAATTTATAGAACTCTGGAAATATCAATATTGCCACAGTGCAGTTGTGACATTTATTGTTGAAGAAGACATGAGAAACACAGGCTTGTATTTAAACATAATTCCTATGTTAACAGGTTGTTCACCATACAAGGCCATGCTGGGCTGCCCTCCAGTACACTTCAAGAATTTGTTGAGAGCTGGAAATACAGTTGATGCGTACTCTTGCTCTGAAGAAGATGAGCAGTGCGAACTATCTGCAGAGAGTGATGAGGTATGGAGGATTTATGTCATTACGCATAACAAGAGACAAACTCATCTCTATACCCCGCCCATTGTCTAGTTTTAAATACAATGATATGTGCAATCAAATGTGACATTGTAAATTATCAGTTTGTCTCACCTCCTTGTAGAAGAGGTTGAATACAAGAGCTAATATAACATCTCCATAAACTTTGTACATCTGCCTTAGTAAAACTTTAATGATAAACAAAGGTTATAATCATCTTCAAGTTTGTGTAAGCTAAGAATATTTAGATATCATGCATGGTATTGTAGAGCATTGTTTTCAGGCAGGTATTGTTGCAGCCCTTTATAGGTACATGTAGTTACCAGAGTAAGGTACACGGTACAGATAAGGTACAAAAGTTGTAAGCATGCTGACACCTCAAAACCTGGTGAATTTCTAATACATCTACAATTAATGCTTTTATGGATTTTGTTGCAGTGTCTACTGGTGTGTCATTTAATTAGAAAAGGAAAATAAATCATATTTTGAAGTTTTTTAAAGAAAAAAGACTCTATAATAGCCATAGACTGATATTGTACAAAGTTTCATGAAGATATCTTGAACAGTTTTCGGGTTCTGCTCTGGTAAACCCCACTGCTTCCATTCAGTTCAGAGACTAAGTCAAAATTTCAAAACTTTGTACAAAATAAAAAGACAAATTTGTAGGTGCAGGAGATAATAACTGTCATCGGGTCCTGTAAACCTGTGCAATAATGACAGGAGATGTGACAAGTAGAGACATGTACATAGAACTATTTCAATTGCAAGATATTAGAAGTAATGATATGTTTAGAATATGAGGTAAAACTACATGTGAAGTGGAAGTGATATTATTTGACGTTTATGTTAGATATGTGGATATAAAAACATGGTAAATGTAATACTTTATTATTCTTTAGGATACTGGAGACGAATATGGCATTAATGAGAGAATAGAAGCAATCACAAACCTCAGGAAAAATGTGCTGCAGGCGTCACTGACCAAATCATCAGAAATGATTAAAAAACACCACGAAAACAAGGACACATCAGTGTACAAGATAGGGGATGAAGTTCTGGTGAGGGTTCGTGGAAAAGATACCAGAGTCAAACGAGGTGGGCCCAAAAAAGGGATGAAAAAATGCAAGGAAGGAACTATTGTCGAAATAGATTCGCAGAACTCCCAATTCAAGGTTGCCTATCCGAACAAGCATGTGCAGTGGGAGCAGGTGTGTGACATTACTTCTCGGACAAGAAAAGAAGAGAAGAGGAGAAGAATGAGGACATATGAAGGTACATATTTCCAGTAGTAGTTTATGAATATTATGTAATTAGCAAGTATGTTTAATAATGTATTTTAAATAAAATAGTTCTTACAGAATAGATGACATCATCTATCTTGGTGGACTGTAAAGACATGATGTTTGTAATGTATTTGCTGTTTTTATCATTTCCTCCACCCAAAGTAAGTGCAGTTGGAGATACAGAAACGAGATCAGTGTGTCCATCTGTCACATTTTGTATCAAGAGCATTCAATATTTCCTCATAGACCCTCACAATTGGTGCCTTTTCCCATGCTGGAATGTTTATAATATTTCATTTGCATTTTCATGGCAACAAGTTGGTTCAAATGAGGGTGGGGTTTGTTTCCAGAGCACAATTCATAAACCATTGCGTATTTCTTCATGAAACTTTATATACACATCAGGCAGGTTCTGTTATTCTGCTATTCAGTTTCTTTGGTAGACTTTTATATTTTGCATTTCTAAGAAAATACCAAGTTGGACAGCTAATTAGAACAGTTATCAAAGATGATACAACTCATGTTGCTACTGCAGGTTGAAAAAGGTCTCCAGCAATACATGCTTGAGGTGACTAATTTGACCAGGTGATCGGGTAACTTGGTTTATTCTATGACATGGTACCCAGACAGTGTGGATGTTGCTAATACTGCAGTGTTAATTAAAAGAGAAGGAACAACATCATATTTAAAATCAGGAACATACATTAATTAATGTTTTTTATGGTTCAGAATTTTGAAAGTATTATATGGATCATAGCAAATGTAATTACATGCCATTACTAATTCACGACTTTGCAAGGTATTGAAATAATTTGGTGTAGTCATTAATTGTTATGTCATTTGTACTAAAATCTTAGGATTAATGTAGTATATGATACTTCCTGTGATATTATACATTACTTACAAGGGACATTCATTGGTTTGTCTTCTTGGAACGAAAGCTAACATTGACACAGGAGGTTAGGTGGTATACAAAACACAACTGATCAAGGGTCTGGAATCAAACTGCAGTCAATGGTTGAAGCATTTCATCATTTTCAGTTCAGTTCAGTTCCTTAACCAGTTAAATTGGTCGCTCTGTGATATGTTGGTATGTGCAGAAGAAGGCATAAATGTGATAATTTTCATATATTTTTCTAACAGATGCTCGGCCAGATGCAAGAGAAGAGGGTAGAAAGCCACTCAAAAGGGGAAAAACACAGGATGAAAAAGGTATTACAATTTGAGACACCTCATAGGAATCTTCTGGAATGGTTAGTCTCCAAAACATTAGGCATATGCATGAATACTTGCATGCATGCATGCACAATAAGAAGGGTAATCAATACTTGTACAAACTTTCCACCTTTCAGAGTACATTTACACATATTGAACACTTCAACGGAATAAATGTTTTAAAAAAAAAATGAATGTAAAGCATTACTTTATCCTGAAGGTATATGCTTGCACTTGGTGATGTATGTTTGTACTTTTAAGGAAAGGGAGAACAACAGGCTCAAACCAAGAGGAGAGACAATGCAGAAACAAAAGGTAATATCTGAATACAGATGGGTAGATCAACAAGACTGATCAATCCTAGATGCATTATTATATCTGTTGGAAGGAGTACACAAATTCTCCATATGATGTTGTGTCAGTTACTCATATGTCTTCCTGTATATCATGCACATCTGAAATGGTTCATTGTCTCAGCTGAAAAATACTACATCAGTACATGTATTGCAGAACATTACAGTTGTTTCCATAAAAATAATATACTAAGAGATATATTACAGGTCAATTTGTGTTACTTATATAATGTGTCTATGCAGGACGCAAGACACCAACTATGAAAGAACTGGAGATGGAGGCCTCATTCTATGACCTTGACATTGTGGACAATGAAGGGGCTGGTAACTGCATGTTTATTGCATTGGCTCAACAGCTTCAAATACATGACATTGACATAATCAGCCATAAACATCTGCGAGAAAAGGTTGTGCAATATGTGCAGGTAAGTAAACAATAATGCATACTTTCAATTTTCTTAGGGTAGGAATTTGATATAGTGAATAAAATGTGAAAGCCTAATTGGGCTGAAGCCATGTCCTATTTGTTTGGAATCATGTTATTCTTAGAAATCAGTGGACCAGCTGAAAATTTGGCATGCAAGTTTGTTCAGATTATTACACCTCAATGGATTTAAAAAGTTTATATTTGTTATCATTATGAACATTGATATGCAGTAAGAATGTTTTTTACAATAACGGCAGTACATTTGATTTGGTGAATTTCAATTTTTATCCAGTAATGAATTCCACATATCTTTTTTTGTGTTACTGAAATTTTGGCTTACAGGACGAAACCTCAAAGCTTATGAAGCAAAGGTTTGCCTGAATAGTATTAGTTATTATTGTCTCTGAAAAGTACTCACATATTTTGGATCTTATGTTAAATATGTCAATGACAATTTGCTCTCAACCTTTCCATCAAATATATTTTCATTAATTCCTCTTACGTTATGTGAGCTAGAGAGTCATGGGGCTCTATTGGTGATGCCCTTGACATTGATTAAACTTCTTTATTTAAAACAAGATAAACGAATGGTTGTCCCAATGAAGGAAACATCCCTCAGGTCAGCCTGTTAAGTAGGGTATATTACTTTCAAATGTTTTGGATATATTATGAGACACCTCTTAATATTGAGAATGTAAGTTTCAAAATTGCATGACAGTTGTCAGATAAGGTGTGTAAAATAAGCTGAATATTCACTTTTATCTGCCACATATGTACATGTACAGTTCTAATAGGTTTCATACTTCCGCAGCTCATTTATATTACATTATAATATTTGTTTTACTTTTGACCTCATAAAGTGTTATCAGGACCTTAAAAGGCATTTAAAAAATGTGATGGCTGAAATTTTGTACAGAAAGGCTGTATACACATTTCTAAATGAGCAAGTCTAAAATTATTATGCAAAGTGGCTCTTTTAGGTTACAGTATAAACCACTGACTTTATATTCAGTTGGGCTGTATGAATAATTTCTGATACTTTATGTTTACCCCAATAAATAGGTTCAAGTAAATTTTGAAAGGCATATAGATTGGGATGAGGTGAAATGGGACTAAACTTTGCATTTAAGGTAAATGCACTTATACAGCAAGCCAGTGAAAACTGTTTTTTCATTAGCTCATCTTGAATTTTCACTTTTTCCAATTTTGGGCAAACATAAAAACACTTGACCAAATTCATGGAACCTGATGAATTGCACAATTTCAATTCATTATCTATGCATGTTGCATTTAACATAAAGATGCAAGTACCAGTACTTCCCCATGGGGGTCATGCAAAATGGTATCTTCTGACAATGTGAGGTTTGTCACTTGTAGAGATTTTGTACCATTTTAGCTTTGAACTTAGATGACTATACAACACAACATTGAGTCATGTTTTTTTGTTTGTTTTTTTTTTTTCATTTTATGTGTATTATTAGTATAAGAAGAAAGAAGAACAGTAACATTTCTCAGTCTCACACTAACTGAACATGTTTTAGGGCAAGCGGCGTCTGTTCAAGGACTTCGTGGATAAAAACCATTATCCAACATTCAGAGACTATATCATCAAGATGAAGATGTTGGGGGAACGGGGAGACAACATCATTCTGCAGGCAACAGCTGACCTCTATAAGGTGACCATCAGGATCATTACAACAATTGCAAATGAGCCTACATTCATTCGTCCAGCTGAATACCGAGGAGACATGCCAGTACTAAGCATAGGCCACTTGTGGGAGCTGCATTATGTGACACTCATACCAATGTCCACAGAAGGAGGTTTGTCCTTTATTGATGGTACAGTTAAAATAATTATGGCAGGTCACCATGTCAAAGCATTCAGAACTTGTGTAGGTTTTTGCAATATATACCTATAACATTACATATTACTCAAAACAGTTGACTCTTCACGCTGAAACAAAGCCCAATAATGCCTAGCATTGTGCAAGTGCCAGCATGTTCATGTTCTTTAAGTTAAGAACTAAATTACACTTGGATCGTCACATTGAGACCGTGGCATGTACCTATTATCAGATATAAATTTATGACATCTCTGACCACAGAGATATCAGTATATTACTATATTGGTACTGAACATTTCATATATTCACAGACTCATTGGAAATTAAGGATAGAGAGCTAATATAAGTATACTTCTGACATTAACCATTTCATACTTATCATACACAGAAAAAACATTGTTGTGTTCATTCACATGCTTGTTACTTGTACAAGGATTACGCATACTGGTTCCACATCTCACATACAATCATGTTTCATTTTAAGAGAAAGAGACGGAAGCAGCTAATGACACCAAAATGGACACAGAAGATGAATCAGATTCAGATTCAAAGTATCCAATCAACACTGCTGTATGGGAACACAAGGCATGTCCAAACCCAATGCAACACCTGCAACAAGACATTTCCTTATTATTGTGTCAGATGCTTAATGATAAATCCATTAATGTTTTCAGTATATTAACCAAAGATGATTTCAGATGTACTTTTGTTTTAATAAAAAAAAATCTAAAAATTATATCTGAGTAAACAGTACTCTTGTATTACCTTCATAAATGTTTTTGCCATGGTGCCTTCATATTTCACAATACATTATTTGAAAGTTTAGCTTAACAATTGTAGGAGGCACATGTCAGTTGCTGCCATTAGATACCTGATAAGAAGGTATTATTCACTCTCAGTAAGATGTTTTCTTAAACTTGTGTTAATGATGTTTCTCTTTACTAAAATGTATACAGAAAGAAAATGTAGTGGCACACCTGCAGAGAATTGCTGCAAGAGATGCACCGTGAGTTTTGTTGGCAGATAACTTGGAATGACTTTCAATCCAGATATAGTAATAACTGGGTTTTTATTCCAGTTGCTTCTCATAGTGTTTGATTTACTCCTAACCTGTGTTTGTGGGTTTTACCAAAACGAAACAAGCTAAAACAATGAATTATTGAAGTACCAATAAAACACGAAGCACTAATTGAAGTCCTGAATGGATACTGTGTTAGAACTAGTCCCTAGCAACCTATGCTTGTCACACCAGGAGACTTAATGGATACTGTGTTAGAACTAGTCCCTAGCAACCTATGCTTGTCACACCAGGAGACTTAATGGATACTGTGTTAGAACTAGTCCCTAGCAACCTATGCTTGTCACACCAGAGACTCAATGGATCAGGTGGTAAATCTCTGTGACCCTGGATGAATTTATGACATCATACATTATGACTGTGATAACTTTGCTCATAATATCAAAACACTATTTGGTCTTGTTGAGACACAATATAGTATTGATATTGCTGAGTGGGGCACTGAACAACAAACACTCATTTTAGATATGTTTTTCAGTGAGGAACAACTTCAAAGGCATGATGAGTTTGTCAGCGGCTTCCCAACACCAGACCGAAGAGTCAATTTTGCAGAGGGATATCTGTCTCAATATGTATGTACCTTCTCAAATGTGACAGTTGCCTCATATATTATTTTTCACAAACATCCTTCCAATCATTGCTCATGAAAACGTTACATGAAAATGTGTGAGCTTCAATGCAAGACCATGCTTAAAGGATTGTGTACATGTTAACTTACAGCCCTGTCATTTGGGACTCCTTATAGGATCTGGTGGAATAGGAGAGCTAATGTTGTCTTCGGGGATATTCTCATGTATATATATTCTGGCAGCTTATTGATTCCTACAATCGATACCACCTCAATTTCAAAGGAATATCAGTCAAGCTGTCCATTCTTTTGATATATAAAATGGGTTCAATCTGTCATTGTATTCTGTTGAGAACAGTGCACAGATTATTGAACAAATACCCACCTGAAGGTTTTTGGTTACACCCACTGAGAAAGCATTACTACTTCCACCACCAAATGAGACTTGGTAAACTACAATAACATGAAATTTCATGTAGGTAAGAAGATACTATGACAATGCATTGAGATAACCTGTCAGATAGTTTTACAGTGAATAATTCATTATAGGTACTTTAATACATTCAGGTTTGGAAACTGTGGCATAATAAGAATTGTTTTCCAATGAATAACACTGTAGACATAGAAGGAAGTAATCAACCAGTGTGAGAGCATGGAAGTCATACTGCATACTGCATTAAGTATATGTTTTGTCTGACTTCTAGTAACGTCTGTACCATTTTTATTTAGATAATTTAGTTCATGCAATTACTAGGTTAATTGGAATTGGACCTTCTTGTTGGATCTGTTCCTGTAGTAGCCATGTGCTCAGGTCCTTGCCCATCTGTTTCTTTATGCATATGAATCAGAATTTCTGCTCGGATTGGCAAAATAAAAAACACAGGAATTCAGTCAAGAATTTTGACTTTAGATTCCTGTATATCAATGATCTGAAATTGTTCAATAATGTAAGTAGCCATTCCCGTCCACTGAACTGGAAATAAAAGAGACTAGTACATCTGTTTTATATTTTGGTCTATGCATAAAGATTCAGAGTGACAGTAAAGTATACACAAGACTAGAACAAATAGGATGACGTCAACTTTCTAGTACTCAACTATGCTTTTATGTCTGACAATTTTCAAACAGCTACAGCCTTTTAAGGTACAATTGAGCGTGCTCTTTCTACAAAGTTTTTCAAAGAGTGCCATACAACTCTTGCTTCAAACTTGTTTGATCAAGGCTACAATATTCAAGGCCTCAGCAAGCTTTCAAAACATTTCATGGTAGACATGTGGAAGCCATTTCCAACTTTAATGCATTAATGACCAAAATGATGTCCCATGCAATTCCTTTTTTTGACTTGTACCATATGTTCCCATATTTATTTAGGTGTCACGAGTCTTGCCTTTGCATGTGTTTGTGATTGGTGTCATAAGTGGGAAATGACACCCTCACCTTTCTTTGAACACCCTGTATTGACAGTTGTTCATAAAAACATGCTTGTGATATGGTGAAACTCGTAAAAAAGACTTCCCTTTAAGCAGAAATTTCACATGAAAATAGAAAGGGATTTGTTGATTATTGTTTTGTATGTTTATGAAAATGTTTTTTCCACTTTTATTCCCACACACAGTATTTTTATCTGAAAGTGCATGGTGGTAAGTCATGAGGAAATTGTGGTGCCCCTGTTGTCACAAGTACAACTTAAACACGTTCCAAATTAACTTGTGCTTTTAACTAAAACGAAATGTTATTAGTGTTGCTATATCTGCTTATATTTGCTTAACTACTTACTTCATTACATAACAAAATGTGTATTCCCTATATATTTTGCACACTTTTATTATTGTTTCAGATGCAGCAAAAAATGCTTCAGTACTTGATATCAGCTTTGACATTAACAAGACTGAAAGATACACGGTATTAAATATTAATATTTTATGACACTTTATGAAACAGGTTGTTTCAAATAATTCCTGATAACATACATTATATTTAAGTTTTGAGGTTATACCAGAGGAATGAGACAGATACCATGATTGGCTTAATGTTACATTTATTTGCATTTACTAAAAATGTATTGTAGGATTGGCTTTCGTTTTCATTCATGGAATGTCATGTACTTCCTGATGAAGTACTCTACACGTGACACATATTGCCATCAAATAAGCAACAATGCAGGCAGTTAACTGCCAAACACACTGACATATAGACACTTCCACTTGACATGTAATAAACCAAGTCATCGAACCTGACCATCAGATAAATTAGGTTAGCATATGTTGGTATGGACCTATGTTCTGTCCCATGGGGTACTTACCCAACAGTTGACTATGATGAAATGATGGATTTCTTTGTTGATACAGGAGGATATACTCAGGAAGTATGCGACTGTTCAAGTGCAAGGTTGAAAAGAAGCTGGAACTTTTAACGCAAAAGCACATGTTGTAAGAATACCTTTATGTTGAAAAAACACATGATATACGCCACCGTGGTCTAGTGGATAGAGCATCCACCTGGAGAGAAGAGGGTCGTGGGTTCGACCCTCAGCCACGTCATACCAAAAGACGATAAAAGGTTGTACTTGTTCCCACCCTGTCTGGTGCTCGACAATAAGGGTCTAAAACAAGTACTAGTTGGGTCGGAGTCAGCAAACTGTATTAAAGGTTACACAATTTGCGTTAGCAATCTTTTAACGTCTTTTGGTATGACGCAGCCGGAGATCAAACACTAATGTTCCTGCTCTCAGGGCAGACAATCTTCCTATAGTCCATGGAGGTGATCAGCTATTTTTCTTTTACTCACCAAAAACCTTATTAAGGTATTGATAAGGAACATGTATGTATGTATGTATGTATGTATGTATGTATGTATGTATGTATGTATGTATGTATGTATGTATGTATGTATGTATGTATGTATGTATGTATGTATGTATGTATGTATGTATGTATGTATGTATGTAAGAACAACAAAAGCAATAAGATAACAAAGGTGGTAACTTAACAAGGGAAGCCAACTGATAATTGGTGCTGATAGGTGATTACCAAAGAAAAAATGGAAGCCAACACTTAACAGTAAATTGGCACTGACAGGTAAAAGAATAGAATGTTGCTCATGGGGTACACAGTTCCAGTGACTGTCATGTTCAAATAACAAAAGTCAGTATGAGATGGTCAAATATTTTTGCCTGTCATTGTACCCAGTTAATGTCATGGACTGGTTATCTGTCATCTGAGTAAACATCTTCTCCTTTGGGGTGGTAGGGCAGCCTACTGGTTAAGCATTCACTCATCAAGCTGAAGACCCGGATTCGATTCCCCACATGGGTACAATGTGCGAAGCCCCTTTCTGATGTCTCTCTTCTCCTTAGAAACCACATAAATAATGACACTGAAACATCACATACTTGTTCCAATGATGTCACATGTGTTAACCAAATATTTCAGTAAGGCTGCAATTTATGGATATATTCATTGCGTTTTCTTTAAATAGTTCTATGACAATGAATGAATGACAATGCTTACAACAAATCCTGTTAGATGACTGGCTTTGTTGATATTTCAAACTGTTGCCTACATGTGTTGATGTCTTTGTGAGCTACGGTGCTTAGTCAATTGTTTTTACATAAACATATGTTTTTTCACACTTCAGAGCTGCCACAGATTACCTGATGTATGTTGGGGTAAAGGAAGCTATAATTCATATTCTGATGGATGTGCTGAATAAACCCTATGAAGAAGTCAACTATGAATGTAAATCAACAGAATTTGATGCCAGTCAAGTTCCAGGGAGGGGTGTCCACATCACTGTGGATGACGAATAATGATGGCTTGGTTCACACAGGGAGGATTAAAATGCCACTGTTATACAGGATGACTGACTTGCTGGATGTGTTGTGATGATTGTGCTTGCACACTGATATCAACACCCACATATATTATCTTTACAAGAAAAGTAATTTGATGTACATGAACCACAGTGACATGTCATTTTGTAACATTAGTATTTCTTTGTATGACAATGTGTGAATTTACTAGGGCTGCAACGGGTAACTCACGAACTCTATGCTTACACTAAAAGTCACTCATGTTCGCATTTCTTTCTGACTATGCACCCATTCCTTCTGACTTAGGCTCTTCTTTTGGCCACTGATAGTAAATCCCATTTCTAACTTGAGAGCAGAAGATGAATGCTATGGGTCAATATTTCTAATTTTAAGAGATTTTTGATTATATTATTACTCATGTCCCCTCGACCAGAAATGGGATAACGCCTATAAACTCGACAAATAATGGAATCTTAAGATTTTGTTTTGACTACTGATAGTAAATGCCATTTCTAACTTGAGAGCAGAAGATGAATGCTATGGGTCAATATTTCTAATTTTAAGAGATTTTTGATTATATTATTACTCATGTCCCCTCGACCAGAAATGGGATAACGCTTATAAACTTGACATATAATGGAATCTTAAGATTTTGTTTTGGCTACTGATAGTAAATACCATTTCTAACTTGAGAGCAGAATATGAATGCTATGGGTCAATATTTCTAATTTTAAGAGATTTTTGATTATACTATTACTCATGTCCCCTCGACCAGAAATGGGATAACGCCTATAAACTCGACAAATAATGGAATCTAAAGATTTTCTTTTGGCTACTGATAGTAAATCCCATTTCTAACTTGAGAGCAGAATATGAATCATATGGGTCAATATTTCTAATTTTAAGAGATTTTTGACTATATTATTACTCATGTCCCTTGAACAGATAAGGGATAACGCCTATAAACTTGACAAATAATGGAATCTAAAGATTTTCTTTTGGCTACTGATAGTAAATGCCATTTCTAACTTGAGAGCAGAATATGAATGCTATGGGTAAATATTTCTAATTTTAAGAGATTTTTGACTATATTATTACTCATGTCCCCTCGAACAGATATGGGACAACGCCTATAAACTTGACAAATAATGGAATCTTAAGATTTTGTTTTGGCTACTGATAGTAAATCCCATTTCTAACTTGAGAGCAGAATATGAATGCTATGGGTCAATATTTCTAATTTTAAGAGATTTTTGACTATATTATTACTCATGTCCCCTCGAACAGAAATGGGATAACGCCTATAAACTTGACAAATAATGGAATCTAAAGATTTTCTTTTGGCTACTGATAGTAAATGCCATTTCTAACTTGAGAGCAGAATATGAATCATATGGGTCAATATTTCTAATTTTAAGAGATTTTTTACTATATTATTACTCATGTCCCCTCGAACAGATATGGGATAACGCCTATAAACTTGACAAATAATGGAATCTTAAGATTTTGTTTTGGCTACTGATAGTAAATGCCATTTCTAACTTGAGAGCAGAATATGAATGCTATGGGTCAACATTTCTAATTTTAAGAGATTTTTGACTATATTATCACTCATGTCCCCTCGACCAGAAATGGGATAACGCCTATAAACTTGACAAATAATGGAATCTAAAGATTTTCTTTTGGCTACTGATAGTAAATGCCATTTCTAACTTGAGAGCAGAATATGAATGCTATGGGTAAATATTTCTAATTTTAAGAGATTTTTGACTATATTATTACTCATGTCCCCTCGAACAGATATGGGACAACGCCTATAAACTTGACAAATAATGGAATCTTAAGATTTTGTTTTGGCTACTGATAGTAAATCCCATTTCTAACTTGAGAGCAGAATATGAATGCTATGGGTCAATATTTCTAATTTTAAGAGATTTTTGACTATATTATTACTCATGTCCCCTCGAACAGAAATGGGATAACGCCTATAAACTTGACAAATAATGGAATCTAAAGATTTTCTTTTGGCTACTGATAGTAAATGCCATTTCTAACTTGAGAGCAGAATATGAATCATATGGGTCAATATTTCTAATTTTAAGAGATTTTTTACTATATTATTACTCATGTCCCCTCGAACAGATATGGGATAACGCCTATAAACTTGACAAATAATGGAATCTTAAGATTTTGTTTTGGCTACTGATAGTAAATGCCATTTCTAACTTGAGAGCAGAATATGAATGCTATGGGTCAACATTTCTAATTTTAAGAGATTTTTGACTATATTATCACTCATGTCCCCTCGACCAGAAATGGGATAACGCCTATAAACTTGACAAATAATGGAATCTAAAGATTTTCTTTTGGCTACTGATAGTAAATGCCATTTCTAACTTGAGAGCAGAATATGAATCATATGGGTCAATATTTCTAATTTTAAGAGATTTTTGACTATATTATTACTCATGTCCCCTCGACCAGAAATGGGATAACGCCTATAAACTTGACAAATAATGGAATCTAAAGATTTTCTTTTGGCTACTGATAGTAAATGCCATTTCTAACTTGAGAGCAGAATATGAATCATATGGGTCAATATTTCTAATTTTAAGAGATTTTTTACTATATTATTACTCATGTCCCCTCGAACAGATATGGGATAACGCCTATAAACTTGACAAATAATGGAATCTAAAGATTTTCTTTTGGCTACTGATAGTAAATGCCATTTCTAACTTGAGAGCAGAATATGAATCATATGGGTCAATATTTCTAATTTTAAGAGATTTTTTACTATATTATTACTCATGTCCCCTCGAACAGATATGGGATAACGCCTATAAACTTGACAAATAATGGAATCTTAAGATTTTGTTTTGGCTACTGATAGTAAATCCCATTTCTAACTTGAGAGCAGAATATGAATGCTATGGGTCAATATTTCTAATTTTAAGAGATTTTTGACTATATTATTACTCATGTCCCCTCGACCAGAAATGGGATAAGGCCTATAAACTTGACAAATAATGGAATCTTAAGATTTTCTTTCAGCTACTGATAGTTAATCCCAATTCTAACTTGAGAGCAGAATATGAATGCTATGGGTCAATATTTCTAATTTTAAGAGATTTTTGACTATATTATTACTCATGTCCCCTCAACCAGAAATGGGATAACGCCTATAAACTCGACATATAATGGAATCTTAAGATTTTGTTTTGGCTACTGATAGTAAATCCCATTTCTAACTTGAGAGCAGAATATGAATGCTATGGGTCAACATTTCTAATTTTAAGAGATTTTTGACTATATTATCACTCATGTCCCCTCGACCAGAAATGGGATAACGCCTATAAACTTGACAAATAATGGAATCTAAAGATTTTCTTTTGGCTACTGATAGTAAATGCCATTTCTAACTTGAGAGCAGAATATGAATCATATGGGTCAATATTTCTAATTTTAAGAGATTTTTGACTATATTATTACTCATGTCCCCTCAACCAGAAATGGGATAACGCCTATAAACTCGACATATAATGGAATCTTAAGATTTTGTTTTGGCTACTGATAGTAAATGCCATTTCTAACTTGAGAGCAGAATATGAATGCTATGGGTCAACATTTCTAATTTTAAGAGATTTTTGACTATATTATCATTCATGTCCCCTCGACCAGAAATGGGATAACGCCTATAAACTTGACAAATAATGGAATCTAAAGATTTTCTTTTGGCTACTGATAGTAAATGCCATTTCTAACTTGAGAGCAGAATATGAATGCTATGGGTCAATATTTCTAATTTTAAGAGATTTTTGACTATATTATTACTCATGTCCCCTCGACCAGAAATGGGATAACGCCTATAAACTTGACAAATAATGGAATCTAAAGATTTTCTTTTGGCTACTGATAGTAAATGCCATTTCTAACTTGAGAGCAGAATATGAATCATATGGGTCAATATTTCTAATTTTAAGAGATTTTTTACTATATTATTACTCATGTCCCCTCGAACAGATATGGGATAACGCCTATAAACTTGACAAATAATGGAATCTTAAGATTTTGTTTTGGCTACTGATAGTAAATCCCATTTCTAACTTGAGAGCAGAATATGAATGCTATGGGACATTCTTTCTAATTTTAAGAGATTTTTGACTATATTATTACTCATGTCCCCTCGAACAGAAATGGGATAACGCCTATAAACTCGACAAATAATGGAATCTTAAGATTTTGTTTTGACTACTGATAGTAAATGCCATTTCTAACTTGAGAGCAGAATATGAATCATATGGGTCAATATTTCTAATTTTAAGAGTTTTTTGACTATATTATTACTCATGTCCCCTCGACCAGAAATGGGATAACGCCTATAAACTTGACATATTATGGAATCTTAAGATTTTGTTTTGACTACTGATAGTAAATCCCATTTCTAACTTGAGAGCAGAATATGAATGCTATGGGACAATATTTCTAATTTTAAGAGATTTTTGACTATATTATCACTCATGTCCCCTCAACCAGAAATGGGATAACGCCTATAAACTTGACAAATAATGGAATCTTAAGATTTTGTGTTGACTACTGATAGTAAAAACAATTTCTAACTTGAGAGCAGAATATGAATGCTATGGGTCAATATTTCTAATTTTAAGAGATTTCGACTATACTATTACTCATGTCCCCTCGACCAGAAATGGGATAACGCCTATAAACTTGACATATAATGGCATCTTAAGATTTTGTTTTGGCTACTGATAGTAAATCCCATTTCTAACTTGTGAGCAGAATTAGTTAGTCACATGATATATTGTTTAATAACAAAATTTATCTAGAACTCTATGGTTACACTACATGTCACTAATGTTCGAATTTCTTTTCATATGGTTGAATAAAGATATATAACTTAAGTCACCTTCAGTGTATGCATGATCAGATTGTTTAATTCATGTATCTAAAAACGTTTTGCATGTACTGTGGTAAAA